AAAACCATAAAACGGCCATAAATCGGCCCGTGGACCACACAGGGGAGACGTAACACTCATTTTAACTAAGGTAAGCTGTTTTTTATCGAAATCCGTTCATTTTCGTGGGTTACAGAAACGATAGGTTTTTTCCCCATACAAATCCTCATATTTCGAATGTTACGCAACAATGCAGATGTTCGCCGATGTGCATATTTCGAGCTTGGGCTACCTGTGCTCTGAACAGATATTTTACAAAAACCGTTGTTGGGTGCTCCTGACTCTATTAAGCGGGAACCAAAAATTTATGTCCGATAACTGCGTATCTTACATACTCAAACTTATCTCTGTTTGTTTTTTTTCTGACAGTAAAAGCATTACAAGGGCCTGTTATTGAGCCTCCGTGTAGATGAATTATAGCTGAGTTGCATACACGTACACAGCCAAACGTGCACGCAAATTCATACCTCCACCGTTGCGTAAGGGGGAAGGGGGGATGGAACTTCTCCCCAGAGTTTTTGATATGTTGCAGTATTCGGAAACGATTTTGCCTTCACTGGAAAGCGTTTCATCTTCTCAACAAGATGAGGTATATTTTATGTGTAGTGGTGCTGCTGAAGGCCTGTGACGTCACCGACAATGGTCGCCATCTTGGATTTTACCAAGAATTAGAAAACAGGTGGGGGGCAAGAGTCCAAGTGTCAGTTTGATGTATTGCAAAGAAAATACGGTCAACTCTCTCTTAACGGACTTCTCTATAAGACGGACACCTCTGTAAAACGGACACCTAGAGTTGGTCCCTGCCTTTCTTAACTCCTTTTATTTGACTCTTTATAAGACGGACATCTCTCTAAGATGGACGCTTAGTACCGGTCCCAAAGGTGTCCGTCTTAGAAAGAGTTGACTGTAAATGGTAATTTTTGGTGCTTGACACGTTGAATAGCACATGAATAAGCACTTTGCATCATGCATACAAGTTTTACTTTTATTGTTGAAACAAAGTTAAAAAGAAAAACATATATTTCCCCTTAAAAATGGCTTGACCATCTGCTACTTGATTAGGTCATACCTCGTAAGCATGACCACTAAACTTGTCTCAAAATGCGCGCGAGGGATAAATGAACAGCTACTGTAAACGTCAGGTGCTGATATTCTACCGTCTGGAAAAAAAAACTAAAAAAAAAAACAGATGGGGGGGGGAGTTCATCTTCGAAATCCTAGAGAACTGATGCGAGGTGGGAGACCCTAATGCCTCTCATTTTCATTTTGTTAATTGGCACGTTAAAAAGGTCGTCATGTAGAGGATTTTCAAGTACAGAAGGACAGGTGGACATAGTGCAGACTGAAAATTTCCCATTTCTGCTCGGCCTTCGACTACATCACATTCAATAATCGGTCACTAGAATAATAGTCTGCGATGCCTTCTAATTAACTCTTGCCTTTACAGCTTTGAAATCAATGGTACAGTCAACTCTTTCTAAGACGGACACCTTTGGTACCAGTACTAAGTGTCCATCTTAGAGAGATGTCCATCTTATAAAGAGTCAAATAAAAGGAGTAACGAAAGGAATGGACCAACTCTAGGTGTCCGTTTTACAGAGTTGTCCATCTTATAGAGGTGTCCGTTAAGAGGGAGTTGACTGTATTTGCTCAAGTAGTTCAAGGCCTGGGACTAAGGGGTTTACCTGTGCAAAATGACTTATTGGCTATAACTTCAGCGTAAATGATGGCGCTGAATTGAAATTTAGCACTCATAAAGGATACTACAATGCTGACCGTACTACGTGAAAATTAACTTTGCAAGACATCAACACGACCCCGAAAGAACTCAAAACAGAGCGAGATTGTAGCCATAGACAGCTGTTTCACCCTTTTTGGGGCTCGTCAGCATGGCGTAACAACCAGAGAAAGCTCTGATGAAAAATATCCGCGCACTCTCATTTAAGCCCTACCCTAGAACTCTCAACACCCACAGAATCACGCCATATCACGTGTCTTCTGGGGGGGCAAGAGTCCAAGTGTCAATTTGATGTATTGCAAAGAAAATACAGTCAACTCTCTCTTAACGGACACCTCTATAAGAGGGACACCTCTGTAAAACGGACACCTAGAGTTGGTCACTACCGTTCTTTACTTCTTTTATTTGACTCTTTATAAGACGGACGTCTCTCTAAGATGGACACTTAGTACCAGTCCCAAAGGTGTCCGTCTTAGAAAGAGTTGACTGTAACATTTTTCTAATTCGAATTAAATATTTCCAACTCTTAACGTTTGATATGACCGTCCATTGGACTTCAATGAAAAATTATGAGGCAAAGCTTCATTTTAAATGCCTAAACATAATCTTGAATTATTCAAAGCTTTAATTTTAAACTTCGCGTACATTCTTTCATTCCAAACGTAGAAAGTTAGTTATGTTCATCCTCTTTCAAAATACCAATTAGTTTACCCAAACCAACCGGCAACCCAGGCTCTGTGATAGTACCACCGTACGGTTCCAGTAAAATTACAACGTTTGCATGGGGTGAAAATACGATCCTAAAACTTCTAGGAAGTGCTTAAATAAAGATCAATGAAACTTACTCTGCAGTTAGTTGTTGTTGTCCTTAATGCTCCAATGAAGTTTCATGATAATTTGTTCAAATTCGCTCTATATACAATAATAATATACAAGGTAGGAGACACAAGATGCCATCTTCGCCACCATGCTCCCTTTCAACACAACTTTTTCCACGAAATTTGAACTCCAACGGAAAATAAACATGCCAGGATCGTAGAAATAGGATAGAAGCAGATGTAGAAACCAATGAAGCTTTCCCAGATAGAGAAACGAATCGCACAGACTTTGACGAACTGAAAGGATGTAATCCAAAAATACCGAGATCAACGCGCGGCCAAGAAAATGAGGCCTGGGCACTGTACCAAAAAAATCCTTCCCGGGAGTCCTGGGGTGACCTTTCTGGGGACCAATACATCATTTGCTCAAAATCACCCTCCCCCGCTGGAAAAATACTTGATAGAAGGCAATTGTTCTTACTAGCCAATTACAATTCGCTAAAGCAAACCAGGCAGACGCGCCTAAACAAGATGTAGGTGATGGCTGAAATACTGTTGCTGTGAACTCTCGCGCGAAACGATCGTAAATAAACGGTGAAGCTTACAAAGTAATATCAAAAATTATACAGAAAATTCCGACAGAATATGATTTGCGATAACTGAGACGAATGTAAAAGGCATGTGCACCAGTAAACAAAGAACTAGCGAGATTAACATATTTAGCGATTAACGCGGCCGTAACACGCCGACTTCTTGTCAATTACAGGAAAAAATAACAGATTCCCATTTTTGTTAAAGAATACCCACAAAAATCCCAAATTTGGAAGAGTGAGACAAGTCCCAATCAGGGAACTTGGTTGGGAATTCCCTGGTTGGGACTTGTCTCACTTTGACAAATTTGGGATTTTTATAGGTGTTCGTTAAATACCCTAAAATATCCAAAAATGGGAATCTTTTATTTTTTTCTTGCGTATATTAATACAACCGAACGACGGTTCTATCAGTTAAATATGTGAACAATTGTGACACTGTTGTACAAATGCCGCGGTAAGAGCCAAAATTCACTCATATCTTTTGCTCGTTTTAAGTTTTGTAAATCCTCCTTCGTCGTTATTTCCTTTGCACTTATAACCTTGCCCTATTGATGTTTGATAGACTTTCTGAGGTCCAGCGCCAGGTGCTGAGTATAGTTCAAGAGGGATTTAATGTCTTTATAACAGGCCAAGGTGGTACGGGGAAATCGTTTTTGGTTAAGGAACTATATAGAGAGCTGACAAGATCGGGAAAGCGTGTGGCGATCATTTTTTCAAGTGGAATCGCAGGAAACGGACGTTTTCCTCCTTGATACCGACATTTCTAACAAAATGGGGCGCCTTGTAAGTCGGCAGACTATCCTGGTTTTGTTTATTATTTTTTTTAGCCATTTAAATTATTTAGGCGCGTGTGTAGGGTTTGCTCTAGCGAATTGTGATTGGCTAGGAAGGACAATTGCCTTTTATCAAGCATTTTTCCAGCAGGGGAGGGTGGCTTTGGGCAAATGATGTATCGGTCCCCAGAAAGGTCACCCCAGGACTCCTGAGATGGATTTTTTTTTGTACAGTGCCCTGGGGCCCGTTTCTCGAAAGTCCCGATAATTAACGGGCCCGGTAAGCTCTTGCCGTGTACATTAAAGATCGAGGTTTCAATAGTTTTGCATCTAACATGACAAAACGTGTCCAGCTAGTAGCTGCTAGTTTTGTCCTGTATAGGTATGTAAATGACATTAACGACATTGTTACGATAGGGTGGTTACCAGTAAGACAGCGAAGAGATTTCCACGTTCTCAAACTCGTTCACCAGGCTTTGCACTCCCCCAGCTGGCCGTCTTACATACCACTAGATACAGTTAAACTTCTGCGATCTTTGCGGTCAGGAGCAGCAACAAGATTAACTATACCAATGGAGATGGGCACTTTTCAAGACTCTGCTGCCAAGTTGTTTAATGTCCTTCCGGCAAATATTAGAAACTGTAGCGACTTCAAAGTATATTGTAGGGTAGTTAATGCCTATCTATTAAATAACAATTGTAAATAGTTTCTAAATTGTATATAGGGTTGTATTAATCTTTATAACATTTTTATTTTTTATACAATATCCTTTTATAGTCCGATATTTTTGCTTTTTTTTATATTATAGATTTCAATTCAATTTTATTTTTGTAGTATATTATAGTTTTTCATTTTTTATATTGTAGTTTTTAACAGGTGAAGAGCCACTAGGTGGATAGACTGTTAATAAACCATTATTATTATTATTATTAAACTATCAGTTAATGAAGCAAAGTGGAGTAGTTTGCTAGCCTGGAGCCGCGCTCTTATTCTTTATATTTCCATTTTAATATTTGATTTCGGGCCCGAAGAGTTACCGGGACTTTCGAGAAACGGGCCCCAGGCCTCTTTTTTTTTGGCCGCGCGTTGATCTGGCCC